TTACCTCTATCTTATTAGAATATAAAAAAAAAATTTAACAACAATTTATAAATAATATATGTGCTCTAAAGTATAGCTGTAGTATTAACTAGACAGTAAGTTAAAACAAGCATGCATTATATGAATTAATATTTTATTTCAGATTTTTGGCAACCGGAGATTCGTTGAAAACTATTTCTTTTAGTTATCGATTAGGCCATTCTACTGTTTATCAGATAGTTATTGAGACGTGTAGAGCTATAGTACATCGATTAATGCCTGAAGTCATGCCACCTCTAACTGAAGATCGGTGGGAACAAATAGCTCAAGATTTTTGGATGTTATGGAATTTCCCAAATTGCTTAGGGGCGATTGATGGGAAGCATGTCACTATTCAAGCTCCTCCAAATAGTGGTTCCAATTACTATAATTATAAAAAAACATTTTCGATTGTTTTACTTGCTTTGGTTGAAGCACATAATAATTTCATAGCGGTTGATGTAGGCTCATATGGGAAAAATAGTGATGGAGGCATATTAGCTCACTCAAATTTAGGAAAAGCCTTGGAAAATAACTCACTGAAAATTCCAGAATCTAAAACCCTTCCAGGAACTAACACCAAAGGGCCGTTTGTGATAGTTGGAGATGAAGCGTTCCCTCTCAAAACTTATTTATTAAGACCGTATCCTGGAAAACAATTGGATTGCTTTGATAAAAAAATTTACAATTATCGTTTATGTAGACCTCGCAGAGTTGTGGAAAACACTTTTGGAATTTTGTCGCAAAAATTTCGTCTTTACAATCGGAGAATCCAATCTAAGCCAGAAAATGCAGATTTTATTATTTTAGCAACATGCGTTCTTCATAATTTTATTGGACGTGACTGTCGTGCTACAAGTTTCTCACAACACAATGATCCTCCTACTATAAGCAGTGAACTACAAAATATACCTATGCAAGGTGGCAGTGCTCGTCAAGCAGCTTTTTAAGTAAGGGAATTATATAAAGATTTTTTTAATTCACCAGCTGGTTCTGTACCGTGGCAAAATGATAAGGTGTCAAAATGAAATTTCTTAGTAAAAAAAGTAAAACATTTTTTACATTTTATGTTTTAGATAATTTTAGTTTTAAGTTATTACATATTATTATATAATATTTAATAAACTAATTAAAAAATTGTTCATGATAATATATACAATATACCTCTAAGTCTAAGAAATGTTAAGAAAAAAAAAATAATTTGTTGCACTTATTGAGTCTATACTTACCTATGTACATCATTTTTATTATAACTAACCATACCTATTATATGTTACATATAATACGCATATTATAAGTTGCATAAATAAAAAAAAATACGTAATTTTTTCTTCATTTACTTTGATATACCTACAATATAGTATGATATACTTTACAGTACACAATACACATTGGTTATAATTGTAGTTTTTCGTTTTTAAAATGTTCGTGGTTTTACGTTGGTACTACCAACTTGGTAGGTATAAATAATGTATAAATATAAATATTATAATATACAATATATAATATATAAATCATGTTAGTACTATGTAATTATACTAGGTACTCCATAATATATACTTTTTTTTAATGATATTGTTTTAAAATGTATTACCTTCTTGTTGGAGATCTTTTCCGATAGCTTTCCAAATAGTATCTTTGTTCAATATATTTAGAATGAGACAAATCGTAGAGCACTTCATGCTCTCTCACAGCTTCGATTAACTTTTCGTTGTTCATTTTCGACTTTCGTTTTTGAAACAAAATACAAATTTTGAGAACTGTTGGTGTTCGGGCGAGGGCCTTCAAATAATATGGTGGGTTCCCCGGCACCTAACGCTCTAAACAGAGTGGACTGTATAATAAGGAACGCTGCTTACACACAACCTTACTTGTAAACGGAGGGTTTGCCTGCAGTGAACAAAAGGATGTGTAAGACAGTTAACAGACTTGGGGTAACTAACTAATAAAATAATAAAGTGTGATGACAAAATGTATAATAGTATATTAAAATCTTTATTCATTCACAGTGCGACTAAATAGAGGGCACTCATTCGTGCTATTCAATAATAAATAAGAGTTGATAGTTATAATAATTAGTATATAATAATTATAATTTAACTCACTCTGAATATACTTATATAATAATACAATAAAATGATAAAAACTCACAGTATAGTGGAGTGCAGGAACTGGCCAGCTACTGCTCGCTTATAATAATTGAAAACAATACCATACATTTATAATAATAATAACACATTATGCTAGTTACATAATAATTTACATTTTATAATACACTTAGTACAATAAATTAACTAATTGTGAACGATTCACTTCTTGTAGTGATTATAATATTATATTTTAAGTTGAATGGCTGCACAACGCAACACTATTGTGCGTGTTGAACCTTCAATTCAATACTCAAAAGCACAAAAAATACAGTAAAAATTTAGCTACTTCAGCACTTTTTTTGGACTCTTACTATCTAACTAGTACCTACTAACATTACATTGCATTACATTACATATTACCAAAAAATTACAAAAACAAAAACTGATTATGGGTGACATTTGATAGTGAGGCATACAATCAGGTGTTTGAGGAGCGTAGGTGCCGGGCCTACTACTAGAGCGCAGCACATAATTGTTCACGCGTGAACATCCCGCCCACCATGAAGCTCAGGGCTTCATTCTTCTTTACCCATAGGTAACGGACATATCTTGACTGTAGGCCGTTTTAACTGTTGACCGCTGGCGGTACGTACAGTCACCACTCGCACAATGCCATCCTTTCCAGGGTGTATCTCGATGATTCTTACCATCTTCCACTGGAGGAGTGGTACATTATCCTCTTTTAGGACTGCCAGTGTTCCGATTTTTACATTCGCAGTAGGGTTCAACCATTTAGCCTTGCTTTGAAGCGATGACAAGTACTCTAAACGCCACCTCTTCCAGAACATTTGAGTAATTTTTTGAACTAGTTCCCATCTCTTCAGTCTGTTATCGGGCATCTCTGAGTAGTCCGCTTCCGGAGGCATGAGTACTGGTGTACCTATCAGGAAATGTCCTGGTGTGAGAGCTTGTAGATCTGCCGGATCTGACGACAATGCAGTCATTGGTCGGGAATTGAGACATGCTTCGATTTGAGCAAGTAACGTAGACAACTCTTCGAAGTTTAGAATAGCGGCGCCTGCTACCCTCACAAAATGATGCTTAAACGACTTCACTGCTGCTTCCCAGATGCCGCCGAAATGTGGAGCGGAAGGAGGTGTGAATACCCATTGCACCCCTTCTTCTACTAGTTCTTCTGGTACCGTACGACCGGTAAGCTGCTTTTTGAAACAACACTCTAGTTCCTTTCGGGCTCCCACAAAATTCGTTCCGTTGTCTGACCAGATATGGGACGGCTTTCCTCGCCGTGACATAAATCTTTTCAATGCCGCCATAAATGCTGCGGTACTCAGTGCACTGACTGCTTCCAAGTGTATAGCTTTCGTTGCGAGGCATACGAACACTGCCACATATGCTTTGGTTGTGGTAGACTTTCGTAATCCAAGCTTTACCACTAAAGGTCCTGCAAAGTCTACCCCTGTTTGCGCGAATGCTCGACTAGGAGTAACTCGAGCTGAAGGTAGTTGTCCCATGGCTGGCTGTAACGAGCTGGGCCTGGCTCTAAAACATTTAAGGCAATTGTGCACTGTTGCTCTGGTTACATCGCGTCCTCGGAGAACCCAAAATTCTTCTCTTATTGCTGCCAATAGTCCTTGTGGTCCAACGTGCATGTACCTCTGGTGATATTCTCTATATATCATCTCTGTCACCACGTGTTGCCTTGGTAGGATAACTGGATGCTTTCTATTTGCGGATATATTTGAGTTTTCCAGTCGGCCACCAACTCTCAATAGATCGTTGTCGAGGTATGGTGATAGCGTTCTAAGTGGCCCACGCACCACTTGCTGATTATTCCTTAAGCTGTTAATCTCTTCTGGAAACGCTTGCCTCTGCGTTATTGTAATCCAACGCTCTTTGGCCTGCTGTATCTCTGCTACCATTAATGGACCTACTTGTGGTTTTGGGTATGTGTGATCCTTATGCCACTTGCGCCATTGAAAAAACCTTATCCAGATGGCAGATATCCTTAATAGTTTGGTCCAACTGGAATATCTATGCATTAGCTCGTTTTTAGTTGCGATGGTATTTAATGTGAATTTTACGGGACGTCTTTCTGGAGCCTCTTCATTCCGAATTGAGTCACGTGGTACCTGTGGCCACAACGTTTTATCTTCCTTAAGAAAGCTCGGACCGTTCCACCACAATTCGGACGCAGCTAGCTCGGCAGTATTAATACCTCTCGACAATTGATCAGCAGGATTTATACTAGTGCTTACATACCGCCAACTGTTTTCGCCAGTGAGTTCGAGGATCTGAGCTACGCGATTACTCACGAATGTCTTCCACTGGGCAGACCCACCCTTTATCCAAGCTAGCACCACGGTAGAGTCACACCAACAAAATATCTTATCGTTCGAGATTTCGAGGCTCGCCGATACACGACTAATTAGCTCTGCTAACAGGTGAGCACCACTCAGCTCGAGCCTGGGTATTGTGAGGCTCTTCAAGGGGGCCACTCTGGACTTCCCACAGAGAAGTCGCACACTCCATTTTCCTTGTTCCGCTGCTTGTTTAAAATAGATAGATGCACCATATGCGCTTTGTGATGCGTCACTAAAGCCATGTAACTCAACTTCTTCGGACAAACATACCTTTACCGCGCGTGGTATCATTATCTGGTGAGCAGTTGCTAGATCATCTAAGAACCGTCTCCATCGCGTCTGAAAATCTTCCGACAGTGTGTCATCCCAACCCATCTTTATCTGCCACAACTCTTGCAAGAAGATCTTTCCCCTTATGAGAGTGGGACCCAGAAATCCCAATGGATCGAATACACTATTTAACGATGAAAGTAGGTCTCTTTTCGTCTGAACTCGAGTTTCGTTCGCATTCTTAAAGGTTAAATTGCAACATGTCGGATTCTGGACACCAAATAAGGCCAAGCGATTTGATTGTGTAGTTGTCTCCAAGGTCTAATGAATAGTGTGGTTCACTAGATGTTGCTGCTATATTTTTTCTAACATCCGGAGCACTAGAACACCACTTCCTTAGACGCATACCACTACTCTCTAGTAGCTCTAACACCTCATGATACAGCTTTACACATTCTTCTGTAGTGTCTCCACCACTGAGAAAATCGTCCATGTAGAAATCCCTTTGGATTGCTCTGCTGGCTGAGGGCTTATCCTGAGCCGCTAATAGACCGATCTCTTTCAGCACTCTAGTAGCTAGAAAGGCTGCAGGCGCAGTCCCATATGTGATGGTGTTTAGATGGTAGTGATCTATTTCTTTCTCTGGTGAGTTCCTCCACAGTATTCTTTGGTAATCCCGGTCCTCTTGATTAACCCATACTTGGCGGTACATCTTCTCGACATCAGCTGTGATGACAATCTTATGGTGGCGGAAACGTAGCACTATGTCAAAAAGCTCACTCTGTATGGCTGGACCTTGAGCGAGGATATCATTCAACGAGTTTCCTTTACTCGTTTTTGCTGATGCGTCAAAGACGACTCTGACCTTCGTGGTCTGACTTGTTTCTTTGATCACCGCATGGTGCGGTAGATAGTAGTATGGTGCATCGGAAACTGGATCATCGATTTTGCTCATGTGTCCTAGTGTCTCGTACTCATTCATAAAATTCACATAATCATCTTTCAGCTGTGGCGTGACACTAAGCTTTCTTTCTAAATTTGTAAATCGCTTCAGGGCCATCTGGAATGATGAACCTAGCTCTCTCACATCTGCTGTGAATGGAAGATAGACAGAAAATCGTCCTGTTTTGTCTCTTCCATGTGTTTCCCTAAACATAATCTCGCTCGCTTCATCTACATTTCGTCTTGACATGACTTGCTCGTTTTTCATCCAGCCAGCTATGTTCAAGAGACAAGAACTAGACCCTGGACTGATTCTGATACGGGACTTAGTATTGCCAATCGAACCTGATACTATCCATCCGAATGACGTATTATACAACCAAGGTAGTTCTTTGCCTAATGACCACTTCTCGCCTTGTAACACTTCAAAGAAGATGTCGGCTCCCAGCAATAACTCTACCTTGGACGATAAGTAGAATTCAGGATCAGCCAAATGCGGCAGTATGTGTGGTGGAATTGACCAAGAGGAAAAGTCTATTGATTGACTTGGTATCGTATTTGTAATTTCATGAAGTGTATGACATCCAATTTTCGCAGAGAACTGCGAGTTCTGACTGAAAATTGTTATCTCGACTTCTTCAGACGATGTAGTACTGGCTCCATTAACGCCACTTATGGGTAACTTACTTTGCACACTTTTCACTCTTAATTTCTTGACTAGTGATTTGGTTATAATATTTATTTGCGAACCGTTATCTACAATCGCACGGCAAGGCTTTTTCGTACCGTTTCTATCTAGAACAAATACTATGGCGGTCGATAACAAAACTTGTTCTGCGTTTGACTGACTGTGCAGAGCGGCTAAATTGACCGTGGCTTGCGGTTCGGTTACATTTTTGGCATCATTGACCTCCTGGCTGCTTTGACTCGAAGTGGCTTTTGAGGGGTCCTGCTCAGCGGTTCTTGACTTGCTGGTACCCAAGGGTTCTGCTTTTTTCTGATAAGGCAGACCGTGTAGCAATGTGTTGTGCTTGTACTTGCAGTTTCTACAACCACTCTGGGTACAGCTCGAAGCACCGTGTGAAGGTGAAAGGCAGTTAAAACATAATCTGTGCGTTTTTACTGTGTTGTACCTTTCGGTCAGTTGCATCGCTTTGAATTTGTGACAAAAAAACAGCGTGTGTGGTTGTGAGCATAAACAACAGACTGTCCGGCTTCCTTGGGTGCTTAAGACTGATGCACCCTTTTCGTTAATTTTGTAACCCTTTTTCTTATTACTTATGCTGGAATTTTGACCTTCGAAGGACTCCAATGAGCTAGCCCTTCTCTCTAGAAATTCGGTTAATTTATTGAAATTAACTTCTTCTGTCACTCCAATTGATAGGTCCCATTGTTCTAAGGTTCTTAGATCTAACTTACTCCGTGTTATACCAATTAGCAAATCATCCCACTGATCTACTGGTCTTTTTAGGGATCTTAACGCTTCAATATGTTTTGTGATGTTGGCTAAAAATCCACGAAGGTCACTAGCTGATGAACTTGTCAATTTGGGTAACTCTAATAACGACCTGACGTGGGCTTCGGTGATTAACCTCTTTCGCTCATACCTACCCTTAAGTGCTGTTATAGCCGTAACATATGTAGAGTCATTAATCTCTAATGACTCTACTAAGTCTAATGGTACACCTTTGAGACAAGACCTTAAATAATGGAACTTGTCTGCATTCGATACGCCTTTCTCATTTTCTACGCGGCTCACAAATGAACTATAAAATCTAGGCCAACTATTATAGTCACCGTCAAAGCTTTCTAGTGGTAGCGGTGGCAGTAATGAACGAGAGCGTGGGGCGCTGCCTACACTTCTTGCAAATAATTCTTCCAACTGTTGAACTGGTGTTTTTTGTTCTTTGTTGTCACTGGTGTTTCCTAAGTTTGCTATTGCAAATTTGGTTGGCTGGATCAACCTGTTAAGTTGGCCCGCTACGCTGTAGTATCGGGTTTCAAACTCTTCTCTTGCAATAAGATGAGCATCATCGTTATTGTCATCTATCTCTTCTATGCGCGACTGAATATCCTCAAATTGATTTAATAGCGTTGGTATTACGTTCAATCTGGACTCAGCTTCGGATATAGCATTTGGCGTTTCAACATATTTATTAACAAACGTGCTATGTCTAGTGAGTGATGCTTTTATTTGCCCTCTACGCCTAATTAGAGTTGATACTAAATCAGTGTTTGAAATTTCCAACAGGTTTTCTTCTTTACTGTGAGTCGACATTTTCCTTACTAATTCTTAATATATTTTAAGTAATAAATGTAAATAAATAAATAATTCACAAATGTTATGAATATATCTCCTTTACTGATAAATTCAGTACCATCCACCTTTTGAACAGATACTACTTATCCCTTAATTTTTTAATAAACTGATTTCTAAAAACATATACTGATATCCGGCTCGAAGGACCAAATGTTCGGGCGAGGGCCTTCAAATAATATGGTGGGTTCCCCGGCACCTAACGCTCTAAACAGAGTGGACTGTATAATAAGGAACGCTGCTTACACACAACCTTACTTGTAAATGGAGGGTTTGCCTGCAGTGAACAAAAGGATGTGTAAGACAGTTAACAGACTTGGGGTAACTAACTAATAAAATAATAAAGTGTGATGACAAAATGTATAATAGTATATTAAAATCTTTATTCATTCACAGTGCGACTAAATAGAGGGCACTCATTCGTGCTATTCAATAATAAATAAGAGTTGATAGTTATAATAATTAGTATATAATAATTATAATTTAACTCACTCTGAATATACTTATATAATAATACAATAAAATGATAAAAACTCACAGTATAGTGGAGTGCAGGAACTGGCCAGCTACTGCTCGCTTATAATAATTGAAAACAATACCATACATTTATAATAATAATAACACATTATGCTAGTTACATAATAATTTACATTTTATAATACACTTAGTACAATAAATTAACTAATTGTGAACGATTCACTTCTTGTAGTGATTATAATATTATATTTTAAGTTGAATGGCTGCACAACGCAACACTATTGTGCGTGTTGAACCTTCAATTCAATACTCAAAAGCACAAAAAATACAGTAAAAATTTAGCTACTTCAGCACTTTTTTTGGACTCTTACTATCTAACTAGTACCTACTAACATTACATTGCATTACATTACATATTACCAAAAAATTACAAAAACAAAAACTGATTATGGGTGACATTTGATAGTGAGGCATACAATCAGGTGTTTGAGGAGCGTAGGTGCCGGGCCTACTACTAGAGCGCAGCACATAATTGTTCACGCGTGATCAGTTGGTATGAACAACCGTTGTCGTTTATTACAACTGTTTGTAAACTAGAGTCGGTAAAGTTCATACGATTTTGGGGCACTATATTTTATCAGACCTGATCGAACAAGTATTGACTTGTACATACATGTTCCGAAAATACGTCTCCGTATCAGTGCCATCCGACAAAACATAGTTTTGAACAAATAGAATCGGACGAGACGGATACGGGACGGGCACGGAACGGGTACGGAACGGACAAGTGTAAACGATAACATTACATTTAAGCCATACAATGTAAAAACGTCGGACACGGACCGGACGGTACGGATACGGACTGGACATGTGTGAATAGACCTTTAACTATTTAAATAACTAAGACTAAAAAAAAAGGTTTGTTTCAAAATAAAAATTATACAATATTATTAGAAAATTATTTTATCGTGAATTGAGCAAACCCATGCTGGCCATGCACAAAAAAACATTAAAATGTATACAGTTTCTTAATATGCAGGCTCTAATATATTAGAGAATATATATATTAGAGCCTGCATATTAAGAAACTGTATATACATTTTACTGTTGTTTTTCTTTCAATGCTCACTCTATAACGACTATAACGTAGGTACCCCCTTAGATCATAATATAGTATTATACTAGTATACTATAATATAGTATATTTAATATTATGATCTAACTATCTAAGCATACCCCAGACTTCTTTCTCTAAACGCTGTTCATTAGTTTATACTTTATTGATCTACTATGGCATAGAGTAATATAATATATATAGAGGGCCAGGGCCGTCCCTAGGGCAGGGCGAGCGGGGCCCTCGCCCTGGGCCCCACGCCTTCACCAGTTGGACAGGCCCCGCTTTTGTAGATACCATGAAAAAGCCAAGTTAATGAGAAAAAAATTATTATTTATATATCTTTATATCTTCAATTGCTGTAATTTTTACTACCTATACCTACGGATATACCTACTTATACTAATTGCATCAGTCGTCAAATAAATGTATTGCATTTAAAACGAGTAAGGGCCATTTTATCAATCTTCAGTTAAGAGAATTTAATCTCCAGTTAAGATTAATCCCCAGTTAAACTAAAAATGTGATTTTATCATTACTTGATTAATATTTTAACCGGAGTTTAACTGCAAATTAATTAATCCGAGATATTTGGCCAGTTAAAGAGTTTAACTAGAGTTTAGCTGAAATATTATCAATAATCTCATTTATTTTGGTATATGATTACTGATTACATGTTGTTCGAATTTATTTTTGATTTCAAAGATTTTTTTTATTCGTTTTTTAACTAATTTAATATTTAAAAGAATCTTATAACTTATAAGATTACTTATTTATGCAGCAGCAGTAGTTGTGACAGTAGTACTGATGAAGAAATTGAGTTTTTGAGTTATGTGAACCAATGTTTCAACAAACCTCGAAGACCATATTTATTGTCAATAAGAATAGATCATTTAAATAAATGGGACGATTATACACTAGGCGCAATTGAGTATGAATATATTTTAGATAATCAGGTGTCAGATGAATCAGATCCAGATAGTGAATTTAAATTATGCTAAGAACATAAATTAAAATTAATTTAGAATTAGAATTTTTAGAATTAAATAAAATAAAATGATTAATCACAAAAATAAAAAAAATATTATGGTTACAAATTATTTTATAATATTGTTAGATTAAGAATATATTTTTATTAAATCACTATTTTAACGCTCTTATAATGTGGGCAGTGATTACACAACTAGCGGCACCCTTTTTTTAGATGTTCATATTTCGACTTCAAACACTTTTCACTTCGGAATCCATTAGGTAAGGCTATTACTATTGAATGCCTTAGCCAGTATATCCCATGTTTTGCTTTTCACATTTGCAGTTACAGCGTCTGTTTTCTTATTTTCTAGTATTTTGTTGTGCCTAACCACTAGGTCGACAAGAAGTTCTAACTCACTGCAGGCAATGCAATTTGTGGAGCATTCTCGCTTCACTTTAGAATTCATTATGACAATATAAAAATTATTTTAAACTGAATTAATTAAATGGTAATTTACATGAATAGTATAAGTTAATATAATTATTATAATATAAAATATAAATTACATTTTATAATATAGATAAAAATACGAATACACTACAGATTAAAATAATAACAAAAAACAATATACCGATATAAAGATAAGAACATGTATATATTATAACGTGCTACTAACTTCAATTGGTAGTAAATTAATCTTCGGTTTATAAAACGCAGTTTACTTAACCTCGGATTAAATTTGATTGATAAAATTAACATTTTTTTAATCTTCAGTTAATCTAAACTAGAGATTAGTTAAACGACTATTTAACTGATGATTGATAAAATGGCCCTTAATATGATTAAAATTCAATTTTTAAAGTTGAAAATGATAAAAATCTTCAAAGCGCTCTGTCCCCCCCAAAAATCAACAACTTAGCTATAATATTTATAGAAAAAAAATTCTAAGAAAAAATGTATTGATTTTACAATGATGTGTGTCTTTTTTCTGTTTTGTATGGCGCTTTTTGGGTAGTAAAAGTGCTCAGATTTTCTAGATCAGTATCTTTTTCTGAAAAGTATTGTTTTGTGGGACTTTGTTATATTATTATTTATTATGGATTCTATAATAAAAGCGTTTGCCCCGAGCGTTTAACCAACAGAGTGCGAGCACTGAAAGCGAATGGCTCCACCCCCGCGAGCATGCCTATGAGCTGCGCATTTATGCACACACGGAAATTAAAGCTGCGAATTCCAGTAGGAGGGGTGATAAAATGTATCTGATTTTAATTGAGAAACATATCGAATATTATGTTTCAAAATCAAAAATGTGATAATCGGGGATAAACGCATGAAATATTCGGGTAGGTGAGGTTTGAAAAAATTGTATAATCTTTGTACCTAATGCCTATTGTTATACCTATATTAAATGTTAGGTAGGTACATAATTGGTATTTTTAATATTTTGTGGGGAGGTTAGCCCTTCGCGGCGAATGGTCCGGCGGCGAAAAAGTCCGTGGCGAAAAAGTCAGCGGCGAAACGGTGCGGCGGCGAAACGGTCTGCGGCGAAACGGTCTCGGCGAAATGTCCGGGTTGGGACACTCTGTCTGGGTTAACCCCCATGTCCCGTCGATTCCTTATAGCGCGACCAATCGCGTACCTTCGCAGTGGCGGCCGTCGGTTTTAAAACGTTTTTCGTTATCTCCTGTTTTCCTATAATTTCGCCGATTTTCGGAAAATTAGCTGTTTTAACACGATTTCGACCCTTTTCGCCCTTTTATAAATACTTAATTCGAAGCCACCGGTGTGCGGTTTATATTCGTGCAATGTCGATCGAAAAATACACTCCCGACCGGACTTTATGCCGATTTTTTCCTTTTCTCCCACAGTTTCGTCTATTCGCACCCGTTTGTTCCCGAATCGAGTCTTTTTAAGGCCGTTTATATGCGCCTTTCCCCCGAAATCGGTTCGTTCGCCTCGCAATCGCGTTTAGAAATCGTCGCGGCGACCGACCGACCGTACGCGTATATATACAATATACATGTATATACGTGTATAATTTAATTTTTCCCTATGATTTAATAATTATTAACGGAAAACGCTTTTCACACATTACAGCGAGTAATACACAAAACGGCAAAAAGAGCAGTCATATAGTCGTACTATTTAACTGCCAGAGTTTAATCAGTTCCATTAGATCTATTAGTTTATTAATATCGTATTAAACAGTATTTAACCAAAACTGTAAAAACTGTAATATATCAAGTAGGTACTACATGTAGGTTAGTTATATTTATATTGTATTTATAAAAGAAACATATAGGTGCGCTGGTCACGGTAAAATCAAGTATTATTATTATTATTTATAAAATATTATAGTATCATTATACAATTTAGTTACAAATTAAAATATCTACTTTAGTATACATTTATATTTTTTTGCCAAAAAAAAAAAAAAAATGTGACGAAAAAAAAAACTCGAAAAAAAGAAATTCGATTTATCACGGCCGCCGCAAATTATCGAAAATCCCGGGCGGAGGTTTCGAAACCACGACCCTCGGGTCACCTATCCTAACGCCTAACCAACCTAGCCACCTACTCAGATGAAAATCCGAGTCAATTCTATGACTCTTAAGCCGCGTCGCCGTGCCCGCGAAAGGCGAACGCTGTTTGGAAGGCCGTCAAAGGGCGTTTGAGCGTGCGATCCGACCGCGTCGGCGAGCGGACGACCGGCTCCGCCGCCCTCGGACGTATAATACTCGAGCTTCGCGAAAAAAATCGAACCTCGAGACGCACGTATTTATGCCTGTACCCACTCGATACCCCATCGGTACCTACTCTCGTTTAAGCGACGCCTCTCTTCCCCGGGACTCGTTTTTGAAAAAGTAGGTCCGCGCGCCGGGTATAAATTTAGCGTGGAACTCGAATAAGATCCAAACGGGGAGGTCGATAAGCCCTAAAACGCCTAAAACTCGAATTTTCGAAAAAAAATGCAAAAAACGCGCGCGACGATTTTGGAGTAAGAGTCGTTTCAATTATTTAAGTAGCGACAGTCGTAAGATGAAAGTTTAGGATTTGTGATAAGAATTAGTGATATGGATTGGAGATAAGGCTTGGCGCTTTGGCGGGAATGTTTAAAAGTTTGAGCGTCTAGCAATCCGTCACGAACATTGTAAATGGATACGATCTCCAGGATCTCTAGGCGTTTGTCAGCTGCTTTTCGTTGTTGAAATTGTTAAAAAGTGTAGAGTCGATATGTGCATTTGATTGTCTAGCTATCAGTCATAAAATCACATAGGTAAGCAATATGCGAAGCGTATATTATCAGGTATGCACTCCCCCTGCGGTGGATTGCGGACCCCGTTAGTTGAGCAGATAAGTGAATAATCAAAAATATAGATTCTAGTTGGCCCATGGACTCGCTGGATTTTGGGTTACTGATTTTGGAATAAGAGTCGTTTAAATTATAAAAGTAGCGACAGTCGTAAGATGAAAGTTTAGGATTTGTGATAAGAATTAGTGATATGGATTGGAGATAAGGCTTGACGCATTGGCGGGAATGTTTAAAAGTTTGAGTGTCTAGCTATCAGTAATCAACGGTGTAACTACGCATAATATTTTCTGTTTTATGTGGCTTTTGGGTTTGTCCAAAAGTTTGAAGTCAAAAAAAAACCATACACTTAATCGATTTTCTAAACTATCAGCGCACTTTGTTCAACGTGTAATTATGATACATAGGGCACCAGCCCTTTTTGTAAGTAAAAAAGTGTACGTCGATAATTCGATTATTAAGTCGATATTTATGAAGTTCATTAATTTACAAAAAATAGAAAATTCCAAAGTATAATATATTATATAAATGTGTGTTTATTGTATGATAAATGATAATAACATATTATAAACACAATTAGGTGTAATAATAAATTACACTGTCTTAATGTACCTAATTATTTCCAAGAAAATAAATATACGATCATTGTTATGATCAGATCAAGGCTATTTAGTGCATGTATAATTAACAAAATTAATCATAGGGATGTCAATATCAAAATCCATTTGAATATGGTACATTGCCATTTTTGTTGTTTTGTTAAAAAATATTATATGTTTAGTATACATACCTATCAATTACATCCTTTTTAATAAAAGTATAATTTAACTTAACCTAACTTGCAGTATGTCATTGATACTATTAAAATTATTTATTTATTTTAGCAAATTGTGTGCGTAATTGAACAGTTTGATTTAGTATGGTATGTATAATATATTGAATCAAAAACAGTAGGTAAACAATATTTTAAACAGAAAGTCGGGTGTTAGTTACAATTCAGCGCCGGATCATAGCTTTTTAACACCCGGGGAAAATTAAAAAAATACGCCCATCTCAGGGAGATGACCAGAATTAGAATTTTTTTTTACGAAAAATAAAATCACATGGTATTGCGAGGAACTGAGGATCAACATTTACAAAACCTTTCCAAATATACTGCAGGACCAATCATTTATTTACCACGAAAAATTTGAACGATTTTAACTTAAAAATGAAACATTTTAAATTTTAAACTATTCACGTAATATAGTTTTAGAAGCACTTCTTAATGGTGTATTTAAAGCTAAAATCTGTGGTCAATATTTCTAAGTTCCAGGTTTAGAATAAATAATATTGATAATAAGAATATGTATGAATTATTTATTAACAAATCTAAATCAGGTATGCATTGCTTACTTTTAATATAGGACGCTTTATGTAAAAGAACAATATTTAATTTACTACATACCTATCAATATTATACATTTTCATTTTAATATTTGTTACAATCAAAATTTAATAATATGTACCAAGGTATAGAATAAATACAATGAAACAAAAATGTAATTATGTACTGAAAATTGTAATATAATGATTATAACACGACAAAGAAATATTTATCATGGATTATCACTTACGGATTGAATGTACCTATATACTAAAATAACTACATTCTACATTCTACATTTTAAAAAATTCCAGAATAATAAGGACCTGATTGTCTGTTTAACATCTTGAACTAAAAAATAAATTAGACAAAAAACACAGTTTATAATAAAAAAAAAAACGAACCAAATAGAATATAAATTTCCTTTTAAATTATTTTAATACATAATATTCAATCTGTCTTGGGCTGCAATCAATAGGATAGTATTTTTGTTTTAATTATTTAATTATGTTGTACTTTTGTAGTATCAAGTTTATCAAGTAAATTAATAGTTGTATACTTGTACCTATTTAAAAGGCAAACACAAATGACAAATTATATTCCATTTTGTGTTCTGTTACATTTATCTAGTGGCCATGGTGATATTTATAAAAAAGTTCAGTTTATAAAAAGGCATTAATTGTTAAGTACAAAGACTTTTATAAGCCTAGGTACAAACATGTAATTTAATAAATAATCTGAAAACCAGTAAATCATTAGTACCTAAGTAACATTTTATGTAGTACATAATTTTATGCAGTACCTACCTATTTGAAAAAATATATAGTTGTTAATTTAAAATCACATAACAATGAATTACAATTAATAGTGTGATTTTTAAGATTAAGGTTTTAAACAACTATCTACATAATATTATATTATATGCAAGAAAATGATGTAATTTACCATACATTATTATGTCACTAATCGGAGAGTAGGGGAGAGTGTTGTGCCTTGGACCGCATGTACCTTTGGTCTTATGCTTATTTCTGCCTTTGTAATTGATAAAGAATTAATTCATGGGGGAAATTATAGTCACTAGTTCTAAAGCATTGAAATATATCCACAGTTAGAACAATAAAATCACTAATGAATTTATAATAAAAAAAATGTAATTTAGCCTATCAAAATAATGATTTTTGGTTTTTCTATATTTTATTTTCAACATTTAAATTTGTGATAGAAGTTCTTAGGGTTAGTGCCATTTTACGTTAAATATTGAATATAATTTAATGATGTAGTCAATTTAGACAAAAAATTAGTATTAGGGTCCAAAAAATTACATTCTTTCCAAATTTGTATGCATGTACCTTGGACCAAATCATGAATTTTAAGGTTTAAAAAATTTAACAATATTTTTTATCATCTACCTAAGGTTAAGTGGTTATATATTATCTATATACTGAATCGATTAGGTAATTTATAATTTTTTAAGTAATATTTTTAAAATATTTTTTCTTATATTTCAATGCAAATTCCAAGGTACATTATACATTGTACCTTGGTCCATTTTTTTATTTTTTTTAAAAATAAAATTATCTCAAAAGACAGTTGATTTAGGATTTGGAAAAAAAATACTCATGTTTAGATTTATTATATCTACAATATTTGTAATATGAATTAACGTGAAATATTAACAATTAGAGCTGTTAGGGGACATTTAATAAAAAAGGTCCCAAGGTACAACACTCTCCCCTACCTACATTAATCTATTTATGATAGACTAAGGCATGTACACTCCCGCTGACAGTAAGTTGCGGACGGGTTTTATTTATTTTATATTTTAATCTATTTTTTACCTTTTTCATATTTGTCCTTTTTAATATTTAATCAATGTTATTAGTTATTACTAATCTCGATTAAAAATAAAATTATTTTATTTTATTCCCATACAAAATATTACACATTTCCTGTGAAATATTATTTTGTACTTAGTTTTTACTTTTGTTTTAAAGTCCATTTTCAATTTTCAATTTACAAAATATTTAAGTAGTATATATTTGCCAATCCTGGGACAACTCGTCCTCGTCCTCGTCGTTTGCTCGTCATATTGTGTTCATCATCAGGTGTTTTTTATTTACGCACGCGCCTCCACCCGATTCTTGTCGGCAACGTAGCCGATGTTTTTTATTTATGCAAGCGCATTCACTCGTCAATGCGGACTGGACAGTATCGTCATCCCTTACTATTTTTATGCACTACCACGTATACAAAAGATTCTTACGTACCTGTACAAAGTGAAGACCACCTACATAGAGTATACACCTGCGTATAGAATATGGCATGGAATTTTCATCAGTTTGTTATAAGTTTGTGACATACAACCACGTTCAATATTTCACTCGGTTTATTCCAGCAAGAATAAAATGTGAGTTTTGATTTTCTGTACTATATTTTAATTATTTATAGAATTGTGTGTGTGTACTGGGTTTAGATGTCTAATTCATCACAAAGTGACGGTGAAGATTTTAATGGACGTCTGAATCAACTGCGTGAACAAAACGTGAATAATTATGCTGCACTGCGTATTCTTTGGACACAATCATCACCAAGTATATCACCGGATAATAGTAACGATAGACGTTTGGATCAGCCGATGGATCAAAATCCGGAATACTACCCGGATGCACAGCCCCTTGAACTATTAATAGAGGGTTATAACAACAGTCTCAGAAATCGCGCCCTGGTAAGTTTATATTTTTTAAAAGAACGAAACATAAAATACAAATCCCAATATTATTTAGAACCGAACTGGAGATAGCGGCTATTTAACACGTCCGGAGTCACCCATAATATTGATGGATAATTGGGAACGATATTTTCCGAGCCCAATTTATGAACCATCGTTAACTCAAAATACACCGCCACAAAATACACCGCCGTCGTCGCCGCAGGACAATGAAATATCATGTCAAGATTTATTTCCAGAACTTGAAGCATCGTCATCTATAGACTCGCCGAATATGTTAATTCCCCATGCGCCTATAAGATCACACACGACGCAGTCTTCATGCCAGCCATCGGTCGAAATGGATTGGAGTGATGACGGAAATAACGAGCAACTCAATAGACTTATGGACAAGTATGAGGGGTGGGGTAGTGATTATGATGAAATAAATGAGTTGTTTTTAAAAAAGCATAATAAATAATTTTTTACTACTTTTTACTACTATTTTTTTTTTTACTTGAATTATTATTTTTAACTTTCTGTATATAAATATTGTAAACTCTCTGTATATTTTAGGAATGTCTATTTGGTTTTCACTTTGCATATATACATAACAATCTTTTGTATGTGTGACGGTAACCGTTGGTCAAAGAAAATGCATGATTCCACTACAGGTGGACGTCCGTATCCCTTCTTAGTAACATACCCCCTCTTAGGGTACAAAATAATTTAGGTCAAATGGTGTGTTGCACCGATCAGTGTTAAGCATTTTGTCCGTCATACAGACACGTACATTTGAGCGGCTACCATCGTTTATCACTTATACCGATTTTAACAAGTTGTAATATATATTAACTAACAAAATGTTTAAATGCAATCAGTGCCCGTCTGAATTTGATCGTAAATACAATTTGCTTCGACATCACAAAACACACAAAGGTATACGATTTACCTGTACTGAGTGTACACGTACATTTACGGACAGGTCTAACTTGAGACGCCATTTAAAATTAACTCATGGTATGTAGTTATTATCCTGTTACATAATTGTTTATTTAATATTAATTTACTTAACGCGGAATTCAATTTGCCTCGACTTGTCGTGGAAGTAATGATGTCGATCTTACCCGGCAAGTCGTCGTTCAACCAATACATGCCCGTAGTGATCAGGTAGAGATTTCACCACAAATATTTGTACCAGATTTACCAGCAGGACCATCACACCAACAAGATGACTATCTGAGACCTGATAACAAGTCTAACGAATGGTATGATGACGGATATATGATGAATTGTTTACCATGATCGACAACGATCATTTACAAGGTAATCGTTTTTATGAAAAATGAATTCGTATGAAGTATAAAGCCGAGCGTTATAATGGACTGATAGATTTTTTTTTTTTTTTCTTATTAGGAAAACGTAAATATACCGAAAATTCTTTACCGAATGTACAAAATAAACGTGCACGAATGAACGCAACAACATCATCGAAATTCGTCAAAACAAAGTCCGCGTTTAAGGGGCTTTGTACCGAATATTTTAAAAAAAGTATTGCCAATATTAAAGATGCCATAGAATTTTTAGAAATTTCAAAGCCCGAAATAGTTGAAATAATTGACGGTGCACTTCGCCAGTCGCCGATTAAATACAATATAAAACTGGAGGCTACATACATTAAACCTCACACCGACATAAAAGAAAATCGTGCATTTAAAACCAGGGCAAGGCCAATATTTAACGACTATAATATAAATGAAATGTTAGAAATGGATTTTGACACTATACTTAAAGAACAGGAAATAATGGCGCTTAAAGGCAGCGGATTTACATTAGATAGTATAGACGGTCTAATATTAAATATAAACCAACATACTCCTTTAGGAGGTGCGTCATATATGCCATTACCGGAATTCATCGAAAATAAAAAAGCAACCATAAATGTGCAAAATGACGATAACAAGTGTTTTAAATATAGCATATTAGCGAAACACGTACATCCTGTGCATGCCGAAAGAATAGGACGTAATTATGCAGAAGTAGAACATATCTACGATTTTTCCAAAATAAATTTCCCCGTAACAATGAAAGATATCGACAAATTTGAAAAAATAAATAATGTGTCGGTAAATGTATATAGCATAAAACAAGGCGATCCTATACATACAAATAATGAAAAAATATATCTAAAAGAAAAATGGTTCAAAAAAAATTATCTAACTATACGATATACCCCGTAAAAGTTTGTGAAGTCGAAAGAACTGACCACCATGATTTATTGTTATTTGGAGACGGCTCGGGTAACGAGCATTACTGTCGAATAATAAATCTATCTAAATTAGTTGGTTCACAAATGTCACAAAACGGTCACGTTGTGTTAATATGTAAGCGCTGTTTCAAGTCATACTTTGGAATTAATCGCCGTGGAGTTAGTGCGGAACAGCGACTTAAAGATCACAAACTGAATTGCAACAAAAATAAGCCGCTACTACCAGTACTTCCAAGTCCAAACACTTTTATGAAATTTGAAAATTTTAATCGCACACGGAAGCATCCATTTGCCATATATGCTGACTTTGAGGCAATTTTAGAAAAAAACGATGAAGAAAATATTAATTATAAAAATACTCGAATTATTCACCATCATGATGTGATGAGCTATTGTTACTATGTGAAACCAAACGACGATATACCTACGGAGTTGTTGGAAAAATATGGCATAGAGACAGAAGCAATTATTTTTAGAGGAAATTCGAGTATGGGGAAAGGCGACGTAGCCAAAAAGTTTATGGAAGAAATTGTCAAAGTTGCACTTAAGATAGAAAATATATTAAACACAAACGTACCCATTAAAATGACTGAAGACGAAAAAAAATTACATCGAGAAATCACAGACCGAGGAACATGTCCGTTATGTAAATCAAAATTTAATAATAATAATAATTTACCTGTTAGGGATCATGACCATTTGACTGGAAAATACAGAGGTACTGTTTGCAGCAAATGTAATTTGCAAATGGTGAAACCTAACTTTGTTCCTATTTTTTTCCATAATCTATCAGGTTATGACTCTCATTTTTTGGTATTGCAGTTAGGATTAGATGCAAAATCTATTAATGTAATACCAAACACTGAAGAAAAATTTATCTCTTTTACGAAATACGTTTCAAACACTTTTCAAATTCGTTTTGTCGACACTTTCCGATTTATGGCAACGAGCTTGGAAAAACTTGTAATAAATTTATCTAAAGGAGATAAATTAAAATTCAGGGGGACAGGTAAAATATTTAATAGCACTGATATGGATCTAGTAACAAGGAAAGGGGTCTACCCTTATGAATATACGTGTTGAAAGTGAAGCTTGACGGACTAATGATGTTAGCATTAATATAATAAGTAATAACACGACAATATGATTATGTATAAGTATAATATATAATAACGTACAACTGGACAATTAAACTGTGACTATACACACACACCGCGTACACTCGGTATGACAGCGTCTGTGCAAGTGAATATTACATACATCAAAGGCCCTATTTATATGAACAATCGAGGCCATCCCGTATCCGTATATAATATAGAAAGCGATAGTAAAGGTGTTACACAGCTATATCGTAACTGCATAAGTATCTATTAGAAAACGACATTGTACACGCACGTGTGTTTACATGGTTTGAATACTAATATTAATTGTATATTTCAACACCCTCCCTCAATTAATAATTTCTTTAATTGTAGTCACTCCTATGGCTGACCGCAACTTCTCGAATCGTTCCTTAACCAAAGGCTTGGTTAGAATGTCCGCAATCTGGTCCTCTGTTCCAATGTACTGTAGTTGGAATTGTCCTTCTTCGTATTTCTCCCGTATGAAATGATATCGTACGTCTATGTGTTTTGTCCTCTTATGAAACTCCGGATTCTTAACTAAACGAATAGCACTCTGATTATCAATGAATAAAACTGGTTGTTTGTCACCTGTTGTTGATAAGCTTGTTATCAACCGCGTAATCCACATGATCCCTTTTACGGCTTCACTGGCCGAAATATATTCAGCCTCGGTCGATGACAATGACACACAATGTTGTCTCTGCGATGTCCATGAAATTATGCTCGACCCGTATCTGACTAGAAAATCCTGACGTTGAACGTCGGTCTGACCGTCACCTGCGTAATTGCATCGCTAATATTTCTAATGACAATTTTGTTTTGTTATTAAAATACAAGCCATAATTAAATGTTCGCTTGATATATCGTATAATCCGTTTTACCAAGTTCCAATGAGCTTTAGTTGGTTTTGCTAAGTAACGACTAGCAAAGTTTATTGCATATGCTATATCTGGCCTCGTTACCTGTGATAAAAACAGTAAGCTACCTACTGCCTGCCTATAAGGTATTTCTTCACTTAATTCTCCGTATCTTTTTTTGTTCAGTATGTGATTTGTCTATCGGAATTGAAAGTTCCTTGGCGTCCAGCATATTAAATTTATTAATTATGCTACATGCATAATTTGTCTGATGCACAAATAATGAACCATTTTTCATTAAGTTTACCTGCATACCTAGAAAATATTCTAAGTTTCCCTTTTTAACCTCAAACTCTTTCTCCAAGTTCGTTAAAAGTTTCTCTATTATCTCTTCATTATCTGCCGCGATTAAACCATCGTCAACAAATATTGCAAGAATAATTTGGCTGTTATCAGCTTTGAATACACATGCATCCGCTTCGGTACATTGTAAACCAAATGCATTCAAAAAGTTCTTAAAGCGTATATTCCAACATCTTGGACTTTGTTTTAAGCCATACAAACTTCGCTGAAGCTTACATACTTGATTTGAGCCATCTTCGTAACCTGGTGGTTGTACCATGTATATTTCTTCCTGTAGTTCCCCGTACAGAAATGCTGTCTTGATGTCGAATTGTCGTAGTATTAATTTTTCCACAGCTGCTACTGCGAATATCGCCCTTATTGATTCGTATCTGACCACTGGCGAAAATGTTTCATGGTACTCTAACATATTTCTGTGAACAACCCTTAATGACCAATCTGGCCTTAAATTTATCTATACTACCGTCAATTTTATATTTGGTTTTGAACACCCATGCATTTCGTAATGCAACTTTATCCTGTGGCAAATCGACTAGAGTCCAAGTCTGATTTTCGTGTAATGAATTAATTTCGTCGTTCATAGCATTATTCCATTCATTTTTGTTTGACCCAGTAATTGCCTCATCATAATTCAATGGACTGACACAGTTAGCAATAAAAGTCTGAACATTATACCTGTCTCGGCTTCTTACGTTGTATTCCTGTCACGTAGACCATAACATTTCTATCATCGACTATATTTTCGTCCTTCTCACGCACGCCCGTGAATTACTTTGAGTGTCTGTAAACTCTAATGTGTCTGCAATTACATTTTCATAATTATTACATTCGTCTTCGAATATAATGTCTCTGCATACACGGATATTTA